ACACATATATATATATATACACATATATATATATATATATATATATACGTATAATATACATGCGTATATATATACACACACGCATACGTATGTATATATGTACACGCGCGCGTATATATATATATATATGTATATATATACACATATATATATATATATATACATATTATATATATATATATATACGTATATATATACATGCGTATATATACACACGCGTATGTATGTACACGCATATGTATGCACATGCGTACGTATATATATATATACATGTATATATACGTGTATTCATATATATATATGTGTGTATATATATGTACGTATATATATATATATATACACGTATATATATATAGGGCCTATATACTTTTTAAGCCATGTATCATGCATAGGAACGTTGACCCCTGCAAGGCTCTGGTTAAAAAAATAAATGTGTTTACTTTTGGAATTAAAATTTTTGAGTATGAAATTTTCCATTCAGTTGTGTATGTTTTTATTTTGCTATAGTTTATTTTCTGTACTTTAGGTTATAGGGTACTGCACCAAAAAAAACTAGGTCTAGGTATCTCTTGAAACATCTCAAACTCTGCTCAAACCACCAAAGAGATACCTTATCAGAAGCTTGTCATTTGGTTACATGACAGTAGACTGAGAGATACCACAGCCAAACATGTGTGACAGTGTGTTGGGAGCCTTTTTGACATAGCAAATTTTCATGTACTACTAATATGTTAATAATAATTCATTAAAAGAATAAAACAACAATTAATAAACATTTTATTGTTTAGAAATTTATCTATTACCACATAGACATAATGATTTAGATTTAGATAAATTAGAAACCAAGTTTAAGAAAAAATTTATGCACAAGGAGAGAAAGCCGAATGGTCGACCTTTCACCTAGTGCTACTGGTGCATGATTGTTGCTTTTTTGGATGAGGCCCAAATTTCACTGCCCAAACTTGAGAACGTCCGAAGTTGTTGATATTTATTTAGAAATAGAACACACAAAACCTATGTCATGAGTTTACATGGAACACAATTAATAAACTGTGTTTTAAAAGGTTAAATAGAAAGAGTGATGTAGGCACAATGAATTTAAAAGGTAGGAATTAGACAAGTAAGTAGGTAAGCTTAGCACAGCGAAACATGGTATCATCATTGTTTATGTTAAATAAACAAGGTGCAAGAGCTCAGACTTGTGGTTTCTTTGACTACTGGCCTCTGTTAATGTCAAATTTACAGAAAGATAGAGTGTATTTCCCTTGTATTTTGAAATTGTATATGTACAGCTTGTGTATAAACAATTAATAAACTGAACATTTACCAGTCATACTACAAGGTGTATCGGTAAATTTAAGCTGAAACGATATGTTGTTTTCTGAATGAAGGATGCCTGGGGAGAACACTGTTGTAACTAACCTCAAATTGTATCTTGCTCATGTTTATTCTAGGTATCATTACTGTATCTTTTGATGCAAGACAGACTGTGGATTGACTGATACTGTAACTAACCTCAAATTGTATCTTGCTTATGTTTATTCTAGGTATCATTACTGTATCTTTTGATGCAAGACAGACTGCGGATTGAATGATACTGTAACTAACCTCAAATTGTATCTTGCTCATGTTTATTCTAGGCATCATTACTGTATCTTTTGAAGCAAGGCAGGCTGTGGATCGTGACACCTATGGATTTAAAGCCATCTTTCAAGTGAATTCTTGTCCAAAAAGTTGCTATGGTAACCGAGAATGTGTGAAAGGTCAATGTGTTTGCCGAGAAGGTTACCAAGGCGACTTGTGCGAAACGGTGATTTGTCCAAATAACTGCAGCAAGCGTGGAATTTGTAACAAGGTAATTTATTCAGCCACTGTGGAACCATAGAATCCACACAGTAATTCAGCCACTGTAGGAACCACAGAATTTATATGTGGCAAAGGCAACACAAAAAGGTCATTCGTCTCAAATTGTTTCAGATAGAATGGCCAAAACATGCTGGAATGTCAAATTTTCGAAATCTATTTTATTGCACTAAACTAACCTTTATAAGAAAGTTATTTGCTTTTTCTCAGTTGGCCTATATTATTTCTCTGTAAAGCGCATAGGGGCAATGTGCAATATGCGCTATATAAATACAACATTATTATTATTATAATACATACTCCAAGTATTGAAATACACGCCATCGTGTTGGGATTCAATATTTCGACATTAATTATGTCATCATCAGGAATGAAAAAATTATCCATATTAGCAAGCTTATATGCACTAGTACGTGTATAAGAGACAGCAGTTACTACTGTATGCATTAGATATACTGTACCATAAATGATTAAAAGAAATAAGTTACACATATGTACATAGACCTTATCAATTACTAAAGCATGTATTACATTTTATGTTCAGATTTGTCTATTGTTTACCAAAAATGCATGAATACAGTATAATAATTAGTTTTATTAAATAGTATACTGTATCATAAATGACTAAATAAATAATAGTACTAGAAAATATTAAACCTAATTTATTACTTACATTACAGACGACATTATCATTTTCAAGTATACCCTGTAATCCTAAAACATATTGGAATGCCTCACAGTTTTTAACATGATCAAATATAACTCTATCAGATCGCGAAGAATGTTCTTTAAGTCTAGTTATTAAGCACCTATCTGTCTTACCAATATAATCACTATTGCAGCCTGGACATTTAAAATGATAGACAACAGAACTTCTGTACTCCTTAGGGGTTTGATCCTTAGTAGATATAAAATGAGAAACATTTATAATATATCTATATATTATGCTATGCTGTTATTTTCAATGTTAAAACAAACATTTTTTACGATTTGGTTTCTGCCTCAGAAATGCCCGAAATCATAAACTCAGAAGACTGATTTCTCAAATATTTTTCTTTAAACAGCTTAAGTTCAAACTTTTGTAACTTCATAAAAAGAAATCTTGGATTTAAATAATTCCTTTTCCATTTTTTGGCTTTCATTTTACATTTTTTAAACCTGTACATTAGCTCAACCCGCCCTCGATAAACTAACGTTACGTTTTCCCACTATATTAATTGGATTAACACATTATCAAGGATAAGTACTAAGTGTTTAACACTGGTGTCCTTGGATTCATTTATGTGTAAACGGATTAGTTGCTTTTTTTATGAGGTTTTAATTGTTCTTTACCGCCGAAAGTGCGGTATTCTAACGTTAGTTTAAGGAGGGCTGGTCGGCCTAATGACTAATAACAAAAACTCGATTTTTGCTATGAGTGACTGGTTTGACTTGTCTTTGCCACATACTGTGTTCATTTCCTGTAGCAAAAATGTCATTCCTTCCCTGTAGAAGCCACTGCTTTTCTAACAATGCAAGTCATTCATTTCCTGTAGCAACCAGATTGTTTCTAACAAGATGCAGGTCAATTACTCCCTGTAACAACCACAGAGTTTCTAACATGTAATTCATTCATTCTCTCTAGCAACCACAAAGTTTCTAACAATGTAAATCATTCATTCCATGTAGCAACCACAGAGTTTCTAACAATGTAATTGATTCATTCCCTGTAGCAACCACAGAGTTTCTAACAATGTAATCCATTCATTCCCTGTAGCAACCACAGAGTTTCTAACAAAGCAATTAATTCATCCCTTTAGCAGCCACAGAGTTTCTAACAATGTAATTAATTCATTCCTGTAGCAACCACAGAGTTTCTAAAATGTAATTTATTCATTCCCTGTAGCAACCACATAGTTTCTAACAATGTAGTTCATTCATTCCCTGTAGCAACCACAGGGTTTCTAACAATGTAATCCATTCATTCCCTGTAACAACCACAGAGTATCTAAAAATGTAATTAATTAATTCATTCCTGTAGCAACCACAGGGTTTCTAAAATGTAATTTATTCATTCCCTGTAGCAACCACAGAGTTTCTAACAATGTAATCCATTCATTCCCTGTAGCAGCCACAGAGTATCTAAAAATGTAATCCATTCATTCCCTTTAGCAGCCACAGAGTTTCTAACAATGTAATTAATTCATTCCTGTAGCAACCACAGGGTTTCTAAAATGTAATTTATTCATTCCCTGTAGCAACCACAGAGTTTCTAACAATGTAATTTATTCATTCCCTGTAGCAACCACAGAGTTTCTAACAATGTAAATAATGCATTCCCTGTAGCAACCACAGAGTTTCTAACAATGTAAATAATGCATTCCCTGTAGCAACCACAGAGTTTCTAACAATGTAATCCATTCATTCCCTGTAGCAACCACAGAGTTTCTAACAATGTAAATAATGCATTCCCTGTAGCAACCACAGAGTTTCTAACAATGTAATCCATTCGTTCCCTGTAGCAACCACAGAGTTTCTAACAATACGAGTCATTTATTCCCTGTAACAACCACTAACAATGCAAGTCATTCATTCCCAGTAGCAACCACAAGTTTTTAACAATTTTAGTCATTCATTCCCTGTAGCAACCACGGAGTTTCTAACAATGTTAGTCATTCATTTCTTCTAGCAACCACAAACTTTTAATTTAAAAAATCTATTCCAGAGATATAATAATGTATTTTACTTTTTCAGACTGTTGGGTTGTGTATTTGTGAGGATGGTTTCGGTGGAGTGTCATGCGACCAAGCTATTGATCATAATACAGTTGTATGGACTACAATTTTTGACATTAAAAGATTGCAGAATTCCTTGGTTTGTGGCAAGGATTATCCTTGTGGTCGGAGTGGTCACAGTATGATTCACTCATCTGATGGAAATTTGCTCATTTTTGGTGGCTTTTCCATTGAGCATGGTTTTCTAAATGATGTTTGGAAGTAAGTTTAGTATTTTTCTTCTTAATAGGTTTGTTATAGTGTTTGTTTAGGTTTTTTGCAATTTCAAAATTCTTTATCATCAAATATATAATAGTATGAAATTTAAGTGATAAAATTACAACAATGTTGGTAAAAAGGAGATGCCCTAATAATAGCAATCAACTGGAATCAACTTACTGCTGCCAAAGTTATGAGTAAAAGTATTACAGCTTCTCTGTACAAAAGTATACAATAC